AAGTTTTCTTCACATGTTTTCGAAAGTCCAACATTTAAAGGGTCTAATGACAGTTAGTGATAACTAGATATGTTAAAGCTGTGGAAATTAGTCGACCAGATGCAGACCGTTACAATTCCAGCTTTGCAGTCAAAATGGCGAATTTTGGAACATTAACGGAACTTTGTACAGCACGCAAAGAGGAGTGCCCACAAATTTTATTGCATTAAGAAGTAGACTGGTCTTAGTACTTCTGTTTTATCATAGACTTGAGTCTGGATCAGGTGCCACTTTTGCGAAATTACCGTTCAGCTCTAGTTATGCAAATTACTTTTCTCGATAACCAAATTAAAGGTCATTTTAAAAAAATCATATCTCAGCCAACTTTCCACAGAATGCAACCATTAAACCTTGAAACTATTAATCACAGTTAAAACTTTTGTGTGTAAAATAATCAGCTTATTCGGCTTTGTGAGGCAGGTTTGACAGAGCCCTAAAGTTTCACCAAAATCGCACCACTTCCGACGGCAAACTGGCCAGTTTTAGGTGACCGAGAAAATCTTCTTGTAATATAGAGAAAAAAATGAGTTGGTCCGAATAAATGTGATATTTCTTCATGGGATAGGATAATTATCTTCCACTGGAAAAATCAGGGCAATCCGTAATAGACCGAAATTTGCCTTATCGGCTCTTACGCGGACAGCCTCTTAAGCTGCTTCACTTTCACAGCAGCAAAGCAGTACAATCCTGTTCCACCGCGCAACCGCAATTGTACATCGATGATAGGAGAGGGAGTAATTCTTTCTTCGCTAATAGTCATGTTATTATCAATGATTGTCCCATTCAATGTAAGATAGAAATCCTTTTATTTTTCATATTACACCAGGCGCCTATCATGGCGGTCACACGTTTTATTAATGCTCACCGAGTTTTCGCTTTTTTCTTTCACTGTATCGTTTCTTATCTTGCTCTGTATAGTCATCATTTATATTATTCATCTAATGCGCGTAACCCTTGCTTACGGGCCGATTCCATTCCAACTTATCACTTCCATCGATAGGAGTAGGCTAGCGCCGAAGTCAATCCTTCTTCGCTCTGGATTGCTTGCTTGGTCAAAACATGGGGACTTGTACTTAGCGGCTCCTGATTTTGAACCTGCGTTCGACATTACCGTGTGTATGGATTTGGCTAGGAATCCAGGGCCTGATGTGGAAACGCCGAAACCTTTGTTGCCTACTGTGAACCTCTCCGAGCCGCCATCTTTGCCGGGAACATGTTTGCAATACACAAGATCAGCTTTATTCCAGTTGCGTGGTCCTTCCAAAACCACATTCAGAAATTCTATTCTAGGCGAACTCAAAAATGCTGGCTTACTACGCTACCGAGGCAAAAGAGGTGGGTTGATTCGTAATTCCCGCCGCCATAGTATTGATCATAGTAACGTGTCTTCAATGGTAATAGATGAAAGTCGTTCAAAAGATCCCTACTGTAGTGTCATGCAATCGTTGGCGTCCTTCAAGATCTGAACGTGGGCAATCGGTTGGAATCGAAATACAGAGAAAGAATGAACCAGTCTTGAAAACAAGTCAAGATGGTTATGCGGTCCCAAAATGTTGTTTTATTGCCATATGCTCTCTTATGAAGACAAAGAACAAAATAAAAGCAAACATCGCGCTGGAAGCAAATCTTTACGAGGCCGATATTGACATCTGCGTCGTATCCGAAACTCACCTAAAAAAGGTTGTACCCGATGCTAACGTTGCGATCACGAACTGCACAATTTACAGAAGAGATCGGGAGTGGTTTGGAAATGACAACAGAGCAAAGGGTGGAGTTGCTATGTACATTAGAAATTCTGGTAATCTCAAGATTCTGGATGTAAAGCGTTCCGAAACTTTTGAGTGCATTTACATTAGAATGCAGCTGCCCTCAGATCATAAAATGACGATATGCGGCCTATATCATCCCCCGAAACCGCGATACGTAGAAGATGACTTGATCTCTTATCTAACTTACATATCTGATCTGTTCTTGGACGGTTCTCCGGATGGCACTGTTATGATCGGCAGCGATTTGAACAATATAAATGTCGACAAACTCTCAGCGTTAAGTGGTCTCACAGCATTGGTTGACTTCCCCACAAGAGGCACTTCTATTCTAGACAACTGCCTGACAAACAATTGCAGCTTATTCTCAAAGTGTTATCCCTTTGACGCTCAAATAAAGACTGATCACAGAGGCGTTATTGTGCCTGCAGGCGCGAAACTTAAGCCCATGAGATACAAGTGCACAATGCACGATTACAGGGAGCATAGAAAAATTGTTTGATGCAAAACTTCTAGAACAAAGCTGGGACGTTATTTTTGACAGCGAAGATGTGGAATCTGCTTCTCGTTACTTGCAATCAACGCTCCGTGACCTTATGAATGAAAACTTTCCAGCTAAAACCGTGCTTATGTCTACGCGTGATCCACCATGGATGACTCCACTGGCCAAAGCTCTGCTAAAGAAAAAAGCCAAGGCTAAATACCGCAGCCCGGATGGATTTCCAATTAATCTTAAAGAAAGAATTAACGCGATTGTTACAGAAAATCGTAAATCGCTTGCGAGTGGAAAGATGGGCTCTAGATGGGCTCTAAGGCCTGGTGGAGAAAGGTCGATGCGCTGTCAAAGAGAAAAGAAAGATCCAACCCAAGCTTTGACGAGGACTCTGTGAGAGAACTTAATCATTATTTTGCAAATTTATGTCACGATGATGGTTATATCATACCGGTACCCTTGAACATAGGGAAAACATTCCTGCACCACAGCTCACACTGAGCCAGGTTTACTACGCTCTGCTCAACACAAAGCAAACATCTACCGGCCCAAATAATATACCATTCTGGGTCTGGAAGGAGAACGCTGCCATATTGGCACCTGCAGTACAAGCAATCTGGAACCTATCCTTGTCAACTCAAAGGTGGCCCAGTGAATGGAAGCAAGCTAATGTCTATCCGCTACCCAAAGTAGACATTATAGTCCAGCCTCAGGACTTTAGGGGAATCTGCATTACAACGGTAACTGCTAGGACTTTTGAGCGAGTAGTGTGTAACACCTTTGGTAAAGAGCGTGTGGAGAGTACTTGAATAATAACCAGTTTGCGTACAGAGGAGAAGGCAGTTGTACAAACGCACTTCTTAAAGTACAGCATGAATTTCTCCAAGCTTTAGATAGCAACGACAACCGAGCAGTCAGGCTGTTTGCGATAGATTTTTCAAAAGCCTTTGACAGAGTCAAGCACAATTATTAGTAGAGAAATTAACACAGAGCCCTTTAAACCCATACATTGTCGACTGGTACGTCAGCTTCTTGTCTGACAGAAATACAGAGTGGTCTGTCATAATACTCTTTGTGATTGGAAGGATGTCAACCGCGGTAATACTCAGCGAAGCGTCAGCGGCCCGTATTTGTTTAACCCGTTCTTAAACGATCTTGACGTCGCTCAGTATTGCCAGGATAGCGATCTTACTAAGTATGCAGACGACACTTCTGTTCTTGTGACTGTGCGTAAGAATAGAAAAGATGAATCACAAAAGACACTAAAGGCATTTTTGGAGTGGACAGAGGTTAATGGCAATATATAAATTTAGCCAGGGCTAAAAGCGAAGGTCCCATTAATAAATTTATAATTTAAATCAAAAAATAAACTTGTAATCCACAAATCAGTTAACTTAAGGGCACATTCATGTGACTTTTGAGGGAAAGGCTAAGTTATTTTAGAGTGAAACATCTTACATCGAGTTGATAGCCTTATATGTACACCCAAAAAATAGCAAACATCTTCGATCACATTCAAGAGCCATAATGGCTGTGGTCACACTTAGGCTTTTTTTACTATAGTGAAGTCGAGTTTACTACTGTAAACACGTTTTCTAATGTGACAGGTTTTTCTCATTTTACTATGGTAAACACAGATCTAGTCTGTTGTGGTGGCAACGGCGGTAGGATGAAAGCAAAGTTTACCATAGTAAACTTTCCTAAAACGATATGGTTTATCGCTGATATATCTAAAATTTGTTTATCAGTTGACATCTCGTCGCATTATTTGAGATGAGTTCCCTGAGTGTCACGTTGCTGAATACTTATACAGCACGTATTTTTAGCCCCGCCAGCCTATTCTTTTCCTTTTTTCGCCCCAAACAGTACAGTAGAGATGTCACAGTGATCAAACAATTTTCGCTTTCATTCGAGGTACGTCCATAGTAAATTCTGGATTTCAAGGAATTATACGCCTACATCTAATGTTCGTGTTTTATTTCTGAGTCGAGCATAAATTTACAAGTAAATCATTCAATTCAAGTGTTTTTTATTCCGTGTAGCCATATTTTTTCTATCTGTTGTCTGAAAACAAATGCATATGGATTTTGGTTGGCGCGCTTTTTAAAGAAAACTGCATGTTCTTTTCACTTTAGAGTTCCACCATTCCGCAATAGTTTCGTAATCCCACCGGGTGGTTTTTCAGACGTTCACGGCCGCGAAGTACTTCAGCATGGACCGCTTATATTTGGCCGAGAAAATAATGGGATAGAAGCAGTATCCGCAGCTGCACAATTTCCAGTGAATGCAACTCTCCAAATGAGACATGATGACCATTTGCCCTATGATTTGGTGCCGAGAAAAAGTACTGCAACGCCGCAAGGGCACACAATTCAGACAAGTGACCCAAAGCCGAAAAGCGCCGAGTAGTCACGCAATCGATGGGTAGAAGGAGAAGTGAAGCTTCTCATTTCAATCTATGGAGAGGAATATAAGAACAGAGATAAAGGAAGAAACCTGGATTCCATGTGGGAGAAAATAGAAGCCAGATTAGCGGAAGAGTCTAAAGAAGTTCTCAATACACATTGCCAAAAGTCAGCCAAGAATTGCCGTGATGAAATAAACAATCTCAGCAAAAAATACAAGAACGTAAAGGACAAGAGCAAAATGACAGGGGAGGGCAGCGAAAACATCAAATCATTTCCCGAGTTTGATGAATTAGATCAGATTTGGGGAACAAGAGATTCTGTGAATCCTAAGTATGTAATGGAGGCAGGAACGTCTAAGTCAGCCATCGCCACACCAAGTCCAAATTCCTCCATGTCTTCCTCAGGTAGTGGAGATGGTACTTCGTTTGGCCCCCTCGAGGATAGCAGTGATGACATGGATGAAACCCTATCCTTGTCTTCTGCAACTGCCAAACCTACTGGAGTGAAAAAACAGAAAAGGGACGTAGACAACAGAAACGAAACCGAAGTCAGCCTTCAAATGATGATGACAGCAAAAAAGATGAGGATTTAGAATATTCATCCAGTTTGTTTTTCAAAAAGAAGCAAAAACAACCAGATTCCAAAAAAAGGGCAAATCACCAAAGAACACAAAGCAGAAAGCGCAAAAACGGGCCAAGAAAGAAGATGAAGAGGGTGAAATGTATGCTGAGCCAATCAAAGCGCAAACGGAGGCCTTAAAGAAGACAAAAGAAGAAAGGAGAGAACTTTTTGACTACCTGCGAGAGTCAGACAACTGCATCCAAGAGTTAGTTCTGGGTGCTATCCGAGAGCTAGGCGAAATTCTGAAAACGTAAACTATTGAGATGCACTCTTTTAGAACTAGTATCGTACAGTCGTACAAACATTAGAGTTGTGTTCCAGTTTGACAAACTTTATTTTCAGATACGATGAAATATACTGTTCATCGTAAAATAATAGACATCAGTGATCTCTTTGGTTTCATCTTGCATGCTTTTTTCATTTTTCAAAATTCTAATTAGCTAATACCTCTTTTCACGATTACAATAAAATCATAATTTTTCAACATTTTTTGTATAAAAGAACGTGACTTATTTACCGTTCACGCTGAACAGGATGCAAGACTGGTATATGACCCGCAGAGAGGGAGGCTCTTGATTCAAATTATGGCGGAGGGGTGTTGCTGAGGGTTTGCAACCCTGGCAAAAACGAAACCTAAATACCCATCTGCGACCAGTACAGGAAAACAAGTTCTAGTGATGCATTATGTTTAAATTGTGGAAAAAGTAATACCCTTTATGCTCGAGCAATCTATGTACATACATAGACCTTTCAAGGCCAAATCGCCCATGACTACCGGTAGCAATCCAACAAAACCAAAAGTCTGAAAACAGGCGTTTGCGTCAAAAAACAAGTTCACACTTAATGCAAGTCTTTACGCTGCGAGAAATTCAGTTAGTGCTTGTCGTATTCTTCGCCCCTGTCCAAAGACAGCAAGTCCATTGTCACCATAACCATTTTTGTCGTCGTCATCATCATCACTAGACAAATCGCTGTCATCTAAGTCATCTCCTAGAAGAATGCAAATATTGTGCAGAATACAACAGGTTATGACGGTGAAAGATACTTTGCCAGTGTTCTCTTCTAGTGCCTTTAATAAGCACCTCTATCGAGACTTCAGTTTACCATATGCTCTTTCAACGATTACCCTAGTCTTGTTTAGGATTTTATTGAACTTACAATGTTCCCTGCTCAGATTTCGACTTTGAGGATAAGGACCAGCTAGCCATGTCAACAAAGGGTAGGCCGAGTCTCCAATAAGAAGAGGACGAACGGTTACTCTATTGATATGTCTGACTGGTTCAGCCCTTCTGTACAGTGTGCTCAATCGTAAAACTCTGGTGTCATGAATACTGCTAGGCCATCCTGTACTAACATCGATGAATTTCCCATCAGCATCTACAACACCTTGAAAATTCACGGAATAGTTCTGTTTTCTGTTGCTCCAACTACATTTGGCAAGCCAGCAACACTTTCCATTTTACGCATAGCATGTGCAACATCTCTGGTATCTTCAGGAAATCGAATAAATTCGTTTTTACGACGAATAAACGCTTCCATAAAATTCTCGCGTGTTTTTATCACAGTAGATTTTCCCTGTCCAAATGTTATTCCAGTTGTTCTGTATGAATTTCCGGTTCCTAAACGCCATAACGCCATGCCCACACGTTTGGCGAGAGGAATAGGGTCCGTGCACGGTTCGGCCAACCCTTTTTTTAAATTTTCTGTTCCATGTTGAGCAAACAGAAAGATATGAAATTGACATCTTTTTCGATTAATTGGTTTATAATGTTACAAGTGTCTAAATTGCTTTTGCTTTAAAAGCACCTTTCTATTGAAATTTTATAATATGACGGCGCCAAATAATTTTTGCACTTAAAAATAATGGTAAAATCTCCAAAAATTGCCAAAATTCCAGAAGTCCTTGTTTCTTTTCTTGAGTCCATAAATCTTATCTCTCCATAACAAAAATTACTCAATATCTTCTTTTTACTGTTTTATGCTATCTTTTTCCAAAAAAAGATGAACAAAATTTGACTTCCGTTTCATCGTTTTTGTTTTTTCGAAAGAAGAAACACAAAAACGAAAAACGAAATTCGGCTTCCGTTTTATCGTTTTTCCTTTTATGTACAAACAAACACAAAAAAAGGAAAAACGAAAAATGACTTCCGTTTTATCGTTTTTCCTTTTATGTACCAACAAACACAAAAAAAGGAAAAACGAAAAATGACTTCCGTTTTATCGTTTTTCCTTTTATGTACCAACAAACACAAAAAAAGGAAAAACAAAAAATGACTTCCGTTTTATCGTTTTTCCTTTTTATGTACGAGAAAACAAAAAAACGGAAAAACAAAAATCGACTTCCGTTTTATCTTTTTTCGTTTTATGTACAAACAAACACAAAAAAAGGAAAAACGAAAAATGACTTCCGTTTTATCGTTTTTCCTTTTATGTACGAACAAACACAAAAAACCCTCTCTTTTAACCGAAACTGCTTATGTTAATCTTATTAAGACAACGATTAAGGAAGTTCAAGACGAATATGAAAACGATGACATGGTAAACTCTGCTCTATTGTGGGACATGATTAAGCTTAAAATACGGGAAAAATCGCTCCAATACGCAATGAATAAAACTAAGAAAACAAAGGGCCGTGAGGCAGAACTAGAGCATGCAATTTCCAAACTAGAATCGAAAATGGAGAACGGAGACTCTAGCGTAACAGAAAATTCTGAACTTGCAGAACAACTGAATGATCTAAAGAGTGAGTTAGAAAGAATTATTGAGACTCGTACGAAAGGTTCCATATTGAGAGCTAAAATTAAATGGCATAATGAAGGAGAAAAAAATACGAAATATTTCCTCAACCTAGAAAAGAGACACTATAAGCAAGGCATTATAAGCCAACTTAAAGTGGACGAAAATAACTTTATTACTTCGGATAAGGAAATATTAGCAGAAGGGGAATCTTTTTATGAATCTATATACATCCAACAGAAATATACACAATTTAATTGACACATATGATTTTTTTAAACACGAAAACGACACCGTCCTGAATGACGAACAACGGAACAACTGTGAAGGCCTGCTAACTGAAAGGGAATGCCTTGCAGCCCTGAAAACCATGGAACAGGGAAAAACCCCTGGATCTGATGGGCTACCTGCAGAATTTTATAGAGTATTTTGGACAAACATATCAAACTTATTGATTAATGCTCTTAATTATGCGCACGAAACGAGTCAGCTTTCCATCACACAAAGAAGAGGAGTAATCAAACTCATTCCCAAGAAAGACGCTGAGCCGTATTTCATTAAAAACTGGAGACCGCTTACTCTTCTCAACTGCGACTACAAAATTGCAGCAAAGGCTGTGGCTAACAGGCTGAAAAAGGTTCTTCCCGATCTCATCAGCTGTGATCAAACTGGCTTTATGAAAGGCAGGTTTATTGGCGAGAACATACGATTAATAGACTATGTTATTCGTTTTACCAAAAAAAAAAAATATCCCAGGGCTATTATTATTTCTTGATTTCGAAAAGGCGTTTGACACGATTGAATGGCCTTTTATCATAAATTCTCTTCAATACTTCGGTTTCGGCCCAAGTGTTGTAAACTGGGTCAAATGCCTTTACAGCAACATAGAGAGCTGCTTCTTAAACAACGGCTGGACAAGCAATTTCTTTAAAATTGAAAGAGGGGTCAGGCAGGGGTGCCCGTTGTCTCCATATCTATTTGTTCTTTCAGTTGAAGTCTTAGCCAAGGCTTTTAAAAAGAAACAGCAATATCAGAGGAATACACGTTAACCAAGAGGAAATTAAAATAAGTCAATACGCAGACGATACAACCTTAATATTGAATGGTTCACAAACGTCGCTCTCAGCTGCTCTCAACACACTCGACGATTTTGGAGAAGCCTCGGGTCTCAAACTCAACAGTAAAAAAAACAGAAGCAATTTGGATCGGAACATATAGTGGAAAAACAGAAATTCTTCTTCCAGAAAGAAATTTCAGATGGCAAACAAACAAAGTAAAATCTTTTAGGCGTTTGGTTTACGACAGACCCTGAAAACACTGTACTTCTAAATTATAAGGAAAAACTGGAAAAAATTAACAATATTCTAAGCAACTGGAAATACCGTAGATTAACCTTAAGTGGGAAGATCACTGTTCTGAAAAGCTTGGTAGCTTCTCAAATTGTGTACGTCTTGGCACCCTTGTGCACAAACAAAAAAATAATTAGCGAGATTAACAAGCTCTTTTACTTGTTCCTTTGGAACGGAAAGGGCGATAAAATAAAGCGAGATATTATGATTAACAATTACCCAGCAGGTGGCCTCAAAATGATTGACATACTATCTTTCAATAAAGCGCTAAAAACCACTTGGATAAAAAAGTACCTGGATACAGATAATCAGGGTAAATGGAAACTTTTTCTAGATCTTGAACTGAAAAAGTTTGAGTGTACCCTACCTTTCACAAGCAACCTTAATAAGATAGACATAGCCAATATCTTCAAAACGCAAGACAGTTTCTTAAAGGAAATTCTCCTAATCTGGTCAGAAATCAATTTTGAAGAGAGGATAACATCAGAGAGCCAGCTTTCAGAACAAGGCATATGGTACAACTCACTTGTAAGGATTAACGACAGCCCTATTTTCTTTAAAGAATGGTATCGTAAAGGCATCACAAAAGTTAAGCACTTAAGGAACAGAGAAGGAAAATTCCTCACTCCACCAGAACTTTTAAACAAATACGACATCAAGGTCCAACCCTTGGCATACTGTGGAATAATTTCTGCTCTTAAAAGCTATGCAACACATTCAACCAAGGTGACCACACAAACGAAGGTAATAGTTACGAAAGCTTTTCGACAAAACTAATGAAAGCCCAAAAAGCAAGCAAGTTGGTGTATGACAAATTAATTACAAAGAAAAGTGCCCCCCCTACTACAAGCCAGCAAAAATGGAATCAAGACTGCAACTTAGGTCAAAACGAAATAACGTGGGGTGCGACCTACCAGCTAGCTCATAAAATCACAAAAAGCATAAAACTCAGGGAATTTCAATTTAAATTGCTGCACAGAAGAATACCAACAAACGCTTTCTTAACTAAGATAAGAGTAAAAGAAAACTCCAACTGCTCCTTTTGTAAAAAAGAACCAGAAAAACTCGTACACCTTTTCTGGTCCTGCCCCAAAACGGCGCTCTTCTGGGAGAGCATCATAACGCGATTAAAACTTTGCCAAATTATTCCCGATAGTTACTCTGCAGATATGACTGTTTCACTAGGCCTGAGATCAGACTCTTCTAAACTTCAACGCCTGATCAACTTTTGTTTTCTTATTGCCAGGCACTATATCTGGCTCTGCAAAACAAAAGAAGCTATACCTCTATTGCAAGGATTTCTCAAACACCTAAAGACAATTTACAACATACAAGCACAAGCAGAAGCAAACAATGTTCTGCCCAAACAATGGTCATTCCTACACGACATCACGTAGAAACTATCGTTTCTACCATGGCGCTATTCCCAACGCCCCCTGATATTCTCTATGTCTTTCATCCGTAGCTTATCCTGCCTCAATAACGCCAACTATCCTTAAATAAGTTTCTTCCGATGCAACTGAGTACTTGAAGCATACGAAATGTAATAATGTTTGAAAACAGTAGTATTGTTAGCAATGTAAGCAATAAGTATTGTCAGTACTGTAAGTATGGTATGAATGTTGTAAATAATGTAAGCAGTGTAAGCAGTGTTCAATATTGTAATTATTGGGTTAAGTAAAGCAAATTAAAAAAAAAAAAAAAAAAAAAAAAAAAAAAAAAAAAAAACGGGAAAACGACAAATGACTTCCTTTTTATCGTTTTTCCTTTTATATACTAAAACAAACAAAAACATACAAACGGAAACTGACTTCCGTTCTATCGTTTTTCTTTGTAAGTACGACCAATCAATGTAAAAAAGAGCTGGATGGGTCCGTGCACACTTCGGCCAATCTAATTTTCT